GATCCCACACATTTGCGGCGTATTCAATGTTTTCAAGGGTATTTGTGATGAATGAAGATTTTCGTTACCCTCAATTGATAACAGAGGCTGTGAAGAATGTAATTTCTACAACAGGATTCATACATCCTTTAGGGGTTATCAAATTCTTCACTCTGATATCTGGGAAAAGAACGCTGCCATCCAGATCGACCTCTTTACTGTGTCAATACTCAATATGGTTTCTTCTGCAGAAATCGCACATTTACTGTTTCGTCGAGTTTCTCAGCTGTTTTTTAAAAAGTGAAGACTCCCGTCCACGTCGATACCTGAAAGAGCTGCAGAGAACTGTAATTTCTATGGCCGAATCCACACATTCACTGTTGGGTTATCAACGTTTTTGCTGCTGTATTTAGATAGAGAACAATGCAATCCAGATTAACCGCATCAATACGTTGATAACCTGCTGAATTCGTACATTTAGGAGGTTCCATTCGAAATTTTCGGGTGATCTTTGTGAAAAAGTGACGATTATCGTTCACGCCGTTACCTGACGGGGAGCTGTGAAGAACTCAATTTCTACGGCCCAATCAATATATTTTCTGTGGTGTACTCAATGTTTTTAGTGGTGCTTTGAAAAAAAAAAATGATGGTTTCCATCCAGGTCAACATTTAAGAGGGAGCTATAAAAAATTGTAGTTTCTACAGCTAAATTCACACCATCCCTGCAGAGTTCACAACGTCTTCAATGTTGTCTTTAAAAAGAGAACGTTGCCATCCACATTCACCTCTTTAAATGTTCATATGCAATACGATTTCCTAAGCTGAAATTACACACTACACTGTGGTGTCCCCATCTCTTTAGGTATGACTTTGGTAAGTCAGCTTTAGGTCAGTTAGTGAAGATGTCTTTCAAAATTCATTCACTCATTCAATACATTCGAAATCACTAGCACACATACTTATACGGCTCGTCTTCTCTCACGTGCAAGCACCAGCAACAAACCATTCGCTTTTATCTTTCGCGATCGCCATCCACGGTAGACTCAGGATTGACGAAGAAGCGATGTGAGGAGCCGTTCAGCTGCTTTCGCAGCTGTTTCACTTTATCGACAAGCACATCCCCCATCTCGAAGCAAGCCTACCCTTAGATCGTGAATATCCTACGGGAGCCCACCCGACTGTTCTTCTTGTCCATCTGTCATCATCTCTTCTCATTGTATGACCGGCCCACCGTAATTTGGCGTTCCTCATTGTGTTCTATTGGATAGCGGAGTCGAAACATTCTGTGCATATCGGAGCTCAGAGTCCAGCTCGATATAGAGTGAGCCGGTTAAACCTCAAAAGACATCGCTCTAGCGCTCTGTGACTTGTACTCAAAGCACTGATGTGGATGCACTGGTCACGCGAGTCTCCGACCCGCAACAGAGCGCAGGAAGAACTGTGGAATCGAACCAGATTAGCGCGAAGTTCCGGGTCACCCAGATGGCTAGTGACCTCTTTCGGAGGCCCGAAGGCTGCCCACTCTGTTTTCTTACGTCTCACCAAATCTCCCTTCATTCGTTGTCCATAATCATGGAACGCCCGAGATGGACGTAGGACGAGGTCTCCTTGATAGGTCTACCATCGATATTAATTTGACCTTCGTCATCCAAGCATTCTGTATCCATCGCGCTGCAGCGACTACTGCGATCAGCTAGTGTTCTTATGCAAGGAGGGTCTACACCATCGACCAGTGCTGACAGGACCGCATTCGTTTTGACGCTGTCGAAAGCCTTTTCATAGTCAACAAGTGTAAGGTTAACAAGCTTATTGAGCGGCTGTTGCAAAGATCATCTCAGTCCCCTCCTCATCGTCTCGTCATCCCCATAGGGGAGCTGTGAGACAAAGCAGCACTATTTTGCCGAAGCCGTTTACAGCCGCGCTGCTGTGGGTTATCAAGTCGCTAGACTGGAACGAAAAGGGCACTCGTGTGGATGGACGGTTCCTATCAAATCTCCGCTTTGCAAACAACATTTATGAAGAATGCTTGGGTTGACGAAGGTCAAATTCAAATACAATATCAAGGGGCCCTCGTCCTACATCAATATCGGGCGTTCCATGATTATGGACAACGAATGAGGGAAGATCTGGTGAGACGCCAGGAAACAGAGTGGGCAGCCTCCTGGTCTCCGAAAGAGGTCACTAGCCATCTGGGTGACCCGGAACTTCGCGCCAATTTGTTCGATTATACAGTTCTTCCTGCGCTCTGTTGCGGGTGGGAGACGCGGGTGACCAGCGCATCCACGTCAGTGCTTTGAGTACAAGTCACAGAGCGCAGAGCGATGTCTTTTGTGGTTCAACCGGCTCACTCTATATCGAGCTGGACTCCGAGCTCCGATATGCACAGAATGTCTCGACTCCGCTATCCGGTGGAACACATGAGGAACGCCTAATTACGGTGGGCCGGTCATACAATGAGAAGAGATGATGACAGATGGACAAGAAGAACAGTCGGGTGGGCTCCCGTAGGATATTCACGATCTAAGGGTAGGCTTGCTTCGAGATGGGGGATGTGCTTGTCGATTATGTGAAACAGATGCGAAAGCAGCTGAACGGCTCCTCACATCGCTTCTTCGTCCTGAGTCCACCGTGGATGGCGATCGCGAAAGATAGAAGCGAATGGTTTGTTGCTGGTGCTCGCACGTGAGTGAAGACGAGCCGTATAAGTATGTGTGCAAGTGATTTCGAATGTATTGAATGAATGAATGAATTTTGAAAGTCATCTCCACTGACTGACGTGCAGCTGACCTACTAAAGTCATATAGCTGACTTATCAAAGTCAGCTGTACGCAATGACACACATGGGATAACTTGTCCGACATCACATTTTGTTGGTCATACTCTCGCCAGCCCCGTTTATGACTTCTTTCGACACATTTTATCTCTTAGAAAACACCGATTCTCGTGTTTTTTTCCTTCATCCTACTGTTATCCACCTTCTCTTTCATTTTTCGTGATAATCTGAACAACCCAAAGTTATCGTGAACATTGCCTTTGAAGGCCCAAGCCACTCACCATGAATATTGACCTCGCATCATCTGCGACAGGGGTAAAAAGCGTAGCGGGTGGAAATAAAACGCTTCACTTAGGAATATACTATCCACTAAGTAACGACAAGATTGAATCACAGTTTTGTGGGACATGAAGGGACCCATCCACAATGAGTTGCCAAACGCAGACTAGATAGTCTTAGCTGTCGCTTACTTCTATGAACCCCAGCACTTGGGCAGCACCGTTGAAGAGAGATGTTCAGAAGCAACACTTCGATACCTACAGAACGACAAAGCATATCGAAACTTCAGTGTCCCAATTAACCCAATGCGTACCGCAGTGCTTTACGCTAGCTGCCGAATGCGCCCGGCGTTTCCTTCGAAATCGAGCGGACGATGTGGTTCACGGCGTGCAGCACTCAGCCACACAGAGCGGTTGTTTGAGCGAATCGCAAAGTATGGACTGTTCAAACTTTATCAGAACTCTATAGTGATTTTGGACGAAAATGCGGGCGCGCAGAGGCGGAGGGGCGTGCTTTACCATGTGCAGCACGCGGTACGCAATGGGTTAAGATTCACCGGCCTCACTTGGTTTCGTACTCATATAACGTTGCCCCTTTCGAATACCATCCGCTCGAGCATCCCTTTCTGGGAAGAAAGTGGCTTAATAGCTGATCTGTAAACGGAAGTCAATTATAACTTCGAGTCACAGTTTTCTGACATCAGGACGAAAGGCATCATGATTTGCAGGAGGTATGGGCGAAGGTATATTCCTAGTGAATATATATACAAATCATTTCCAATATCTGATCAATATGGAAAATTCTAAGTATGAAGCCAGAGTGCCTTTCTTTTCGTGACGAAACCGACCTATTGCGTTATATATTTAAATCTACTATGCTGTCGCTAAAAATCGCGCGTGTGTTTAAATTAAGCAACAAGTTTTCGTGTATCGATTGTGCGGTTCGGTTCTGGAAGCAATGTAGTTTTAATAGAATATCAATGCCAAGATCTTGATTAAGTATGTCTGTTCTGCTGCTTTCTTCTAAAAAATGGTGGACGAAAAAATTCTCTTATGTCACACTATGCTGTGTGGATTCCTGTAGCTCACGAAGCAGTTGAAACCACCCACATCATTTGCTCTGCGTTAAATCCTAATGTTGCCACTGATCGCACGATGGTGACACGGTTCGATCGGTCTCACTCAGGTAATTAAACTATGAAAAGAATCCTAGCCCGAACCGAAGCGAACCCGTAGCTAAAATGGAGAAAATGCTGAAAAAAAGGAGGAAAAAACCCATTACAAGCATTTGACTTTACCAATTGCTCAGGTACTTCTTCCATTACCTAAGTAAGCTGCAGCTAGATCGAGTTCATAGCAACGCTGCTTGACTGCAACGCGCCTGGAAGGTAAAACCCAAAAAATATGAATGATGAGCATCCGCAATCGCCACCACATGCGTGATAGGCTGCTTTCATAGTCCATGACCAGTCGCTCGACTGACCGCTCGACTGATCTCGCGACTGGTCGCTCGATCGGTCGAGGAGGCAGGCCGCGCTAGCCATGGGTGCAGCTGAGGACGGTCCCGAGCAGATCGCGCGGTCGCAATCAGTCGAGCGACCAGTCGCGCGAACAGTCGCCGATCGCTCGCAAAACCGTGGAGTATGAAAGATGCCATAGTGATTACGAAATAGATCGCTGAAGTTGTAAATCAGCAGAAGCTCGGGAGCGATGGGAAGCTGTTCGAGTCTACTTATTCGATGTAAACAACTTTTTTCGCTCAACAGACACCTTTGGGATCAGAATACAGTCAAGTAATTGTAATACAAATGACAGAAATCTTGAAAAGTTGAGGAGCTTACATCCGGTTCAATGAAACATCGCGCATTATCCAATAGTAGCGATCAAACTGTCTAAACTCGCAAAGTAGAGAATCGGAAAGTGATAATGTTACAACAAGATTGGATTCTCAGTTTGTACAGTGCACAAAATTAGATTTCTTCTGCACTAAACCACTTGCATTGGAGATAACTCGACGGAACGAAGCCCTCGACAGAGCTAGCAAGCCTGAAAAAAATTACTTAGCATGACGAGGACGGGCTAATCACCTCTTACGACACCATGTTCTATAATTTGGATTTCCTTTTTTACTTTATATGAAGAGAAAATTGGATTTAATATTTTCCTCTAATGGAAACGTATGACACATCCGCTCAAAAACGCATGAAGCTTCCGCTCAAAAACGCAGCTGCACCGAACACCGCGACTCTTCGAACATGAGGAATAACGCTTAACAAAGCACAGAAGCGATATCCGTTCCAAAGTACCAGAAAGTAACCGAGGTAGGATTGTAGCAAACTTGATGATCTGAGAGCCTTCGGCACCTGCACTGCAAGCTTAATGAAGTCAAGCAAACATTTTGGTAGCCTGAAGAAATTTGTGGTAGAAGCAATTACGTGTAACCAATACGAGGAAAATCCGACCGAGTATAGAAAAGCATTTTGCCAAACATGGAAATCAAAGTGGTGAAAAGCAGACATTTTGGAAATGCTGCAGCCCATACATTAATTCCTAGCAACCAGTTAGAGTTGTCTGTCCTGAACAAACTCATAGAGGCTTAAATGAAATTTCCTAACGTAAAGTGATTAAATGTGAAGACTCTCTTCAGAAGCAGATGATGACGAGCTTGAAAACACAAGTTTTATACGAATTCTTCTTTTATCATCCTTCTTAGGCCGTGCTTGCTCTTCATAAGTTCTACTGAACCTAAAAATATGCGAAGCAATAGCTGTACACCATAGTGGTGTCAGTACGTTCCGAAATCACCGCCTGCCAACCGAAATTTTGCTCCTATCATTTCCTCTTCTTCACAATAGCATTATACCACAATTCGTCGTGTGATGGAACAGTAAATCTTGCAAGCAGTGCTCCGCAGTTTATCCCCGGCACTAATTCCGTTTACAGACGTTTTTGCCTTCAAGGTACCATTACATCATGGCAGGAAATGGTCTGAAAAAAACAGCAGAATAATTTTCTGTCAACGGCAGGGGAAACAACAGCGGATTATTTCAATTATAGGGCTGACAAGAAAGTTCTGCGACGAAAAATTCGAAGCGTTGAAAATTCGTGCAAACAATGTGAACACAGTAACAAGGGTGATGAATTATTAGGACATACCCCTGGGAATCAAAATATGAGTGACAAGGGCACGAACATAGGCTTCCGCAGCATTACCAGTCACTGAATGGACAACACCCGATTCGTACCACAACCCTCTACTAGGCATTCCGAGAGAAAGACGCGGGCGCAGCGTCTCGAATTATCAGCAACCTATTGGACGCTGGCCTGATCACGGATCATAGGTCAAGAACCGATTGGATCGCGTCACTGCAGGAGATGCTAGCCGTCGAAGTAACGCAAGCATCGCACCAGTTTCCGTGGTGTGAAGGGACCCAGCCACCATGAGTTGCTAAGTGCAGACTAGATTGTCACAGCTCTCGTTTACCGCTGTGAACTCCACTATTTGGCCGACGCGATAGGAGAAAGGTGGTCTATATTTCTGGTCCCCACAGAAGGACAGCGCAAACGAAATTTCATTTCAGACGCCTAATAAAACTCCAACGAACTCTATTCCAGGTTGTTCATCAGTCGTACTCTCGGAAAGTTGTCCGTTTTCATTACCACGTGCTCAGCATTCTCAAGCATCTTTTTGTGGAAAAAATCGTAATTCAGAGGTAACTGAAAACGGCAGTTAATGATTTCTTTGAGTCGCAGCCTCCTGACTTCTGGGCAGAAGGCATCAGTGATTTACTTGAAGGCACGGTTCACGATAAAAATGGTCACTGAGTTCTTCCCTGAGGAATGCTCAGTGGTCCCCATGGGTGGTAGGAGAGTCCCTCACGCTGCCATAATCTTGACGGTCAGGGCATAGTGGAAGCCCTGTTGCTGTTTTGATTCCCTCTCCCGCCTCTCGATCGATGTCACGTTAGACGAATGTCGAGGCAGTACAGATTGCAATTATTTGTTCCAGGACCCACACACAATCAGCTGATCGCCGAGTGATGAGGCGATTCTTTTTCCTCCCTCTTTTTGCTGCCGCGATCCCTTTTTTAATTTTCTACCCCAAGAGGCTGGAAAAGGTGAGCCATTTTTACTGTAACTAGGTTTTTTGTTTACTTATGCCTATAAGCCGATAAATTTTTGCTTACCGTAGTCAGATATTTGCACCAGGACCCACACGCATGCAATGACGCGCTGTGCGTAGCTCGTCCGAACGCCCCACTCCTCTTCATTCTACTGGTCTCATTCTCGTCCAGCCCCCTTTTTAACGATTTTTCAAAGGCTTTTTCACTTCGGAAACACCGATCCACGCAGTTCCTCCGCCTCCATCGCACTATTTTCCATCTTTTCATCCATATTTCGTCTTAATCTGGGTTACCCAAAGTTATCGTGGTCTGTGCCTTTTAAGAATGAGAGAAGGTTATTGACCTCGTTGGTGGATATATTTCCATGACTCGATTAATACGGAAAACTTTAGAAACGATTCAGAATGGTTTGCATTTGTCGCAAAACTTTTCTGCCAACTTAATTTACTGCACCAGTACATAAACCGATTTGTCATATTTGTAGATGAAACACCAGAAATGTTCCCTCCCTGGTATTTACACGGAAGAAATGCACTTCGACACGGTTCTACTCTCTCGCTTTCCAAACAATTCCTTTGAGTATGATATTTTCTGCACCTTCCAGTATTGCACCGAAAAGGTGGTGGGAAGAATACATATAGCTTTGGATTTAGCCACGGTGCAGCACGTCCCAACGCCTATGCGTGCCCGCTTTTTGGTCCAGATCAGGCTAGAGTTTGCATAAAGTGCGAAGCAGCATATACTTTGCGATTGTCTCAAAATTCCGCTGTGTAGCCGCGTGCTGTACGCCGCGGTGCGGCGATTCTGAAGAAAATGCTGGGCGCAAGCGCCAGCTAGCGCGAAAGCACTGCGGTACGCAATGGGTTAAATTTGAAAGAGGAAAGCGATTACCCACCAATGAGTTTATTATTGTAAAGAAAGCGGTTCTTGAGGAAGTCAAAATCTTCCAGTCTTCTCAACTACGAGCTTTCTTATAACGAGTAGTACAACCGAGTCCGACAAGACACTCAGATATGAATCAAAACATAATCAAGGCTGACAAATCAACAACTAACAAATCGAGAAGTCTAGATAGAATCCAGTCACATAAAAATTGTATTGACCTGGTCTACATGAAGGTTTATCCCGATTGCTTAAAACTAGTCCTGAACGCTTGTGAAGCTTTTTTGCGCTTCATATTGACTGTCTCGTCCCTTTCTCACATTTAGGAAAACCGGAAATCTACTTTATGAAATATTGACTGTTCTACATCGGTCGGTTAAAATAGAAGCAACTAAAGAACAGCAACAAAGTGAGTGCGAAAACTTCTCTTGAAATGGACATGCGTAATTTCGAGCGATTACGGAGGTTTTCGGTAGAGGGGTACGTCGTCCATTGAAGTAAAGTGCTCTCCAATACGAATCCCTCGAATGCAATCAAACCAGTAGGTGAGATGTGTATTGGAGAGGAAAGCTCGCGCTTTAGAACACACCACAATTGCTGCTCCTAAGAAATCGTTGAAGAAAGCCAGGACTAGAATTTTTCAGAATTATGTGCGTGCTGCCGACGAGGTATATCCAAGAAGTCCGAGCTATAATTGATACTTACTTATACTCACCTTCACTCATAAGCGAGCGGCTGCAACAAACCACTCGTTTCAGCCTTTTTCATCGCGATCGCCATCCACGTTGGATCAGAATCCGACGAATGCGAGAAATCGTTCGACACCTTACGTGATCGACAAGCGCATCCTTCCATCTTGCAGCAGGCCTTCCCTTAGACGGTGGCAGATCTATAAGGGCCATTCAACCGTTTTTCTTGTTCATCTGCCATCATCTCTCCTTATAATAGGAGAGATAATGACAGACACTCACCCATCGAAGTTTGGTGTTTGCATGTACTCAACTAAATCGCGAAGGCAAAACATTCTGCTTATATAGGAGCTGCCTCGTCCGGCTCGATATTGAGTGAGACGGCTGAACATCAGAACAAAGAAGGATGCCAGTGGTGGTATGCATTTGAGTAAGCCTGGCCTGTTCAGCCTAGGTGGGCAGTTCCCGAACCAACGGGTCGTAGTGTTTGGCCGGGTCATTCGAGACCTGCCAGTCATTTCGGAACAAAGCGTCGCTAAAAGTCGTTCCGTCAAGAACAATTTGCTTCGAGCTCTTTGCGCAATGATGAGAGATCTTCTTTACTTTATGACTAAATCTGATTTTCGTGAAGGAATAGATGGTTGCAATCACTGCAGAAGATGATAATACATTCACATCCAGAAGCACCAAATTCCGTTCGTTATTATGTGGTACAGTTTAGCTTTTTAGCTGTACTATTTGGAAACTCCTGTCAAACAGCAATGTTCCTTCTTCTAGAAAAAAAAAAGACGTTATTGAAGATTAGAGATGCGGACAAAAGTATGTCAGACTGTCTTGTTCTCGTCCTCTCCCCCATCCCGAGCATTCCAGTACTCCTCCTCTGATGCTTCGGCGAGCTTAGCTTGAAACGACGAATTCGTAGGATTCCTCGTTGTGGATGATCTCCTCCAGCCGGTCGTAAAACGCATTACTTTGTTGGCTGCAGAGTATGGAGAGTAGCAGTTGACCATAATGGCCTTCAGTTAGGCATGTTGTAAGCGCAGGATGGCAAAGCGAGAAGACAGGAGCAAATGAATGCACGACCGTTTTGTTGACGCGAAGCATAGCGAATAACTTAAATGAATTCACCTCGAACCATTTGAGTTGCGATTTCAAACCATAACTATTCCAAGAATGGTATAAGAATCTCTACCAGGATCTGCTCAGTCGGTTGTCGTTGCTATAATCGTGTGACCAGGAAAGATCTTTCTAGTTGCTTTCCTTACTTCTATATCGCGGCCAGTAATGAGGTCGCATGGCAACATGTGATATAGACACAAAGCTCTATTATCTCCCCTCCCGTCGAGGGAATTGCTCATTATCATGAAACAAGCCTTTAACAGTAACGATGTAACAGCTTCAGCCAGAAAATACCACGCTGCCATGTTGAAGAGCGCTTCACCCCAGTGAACGAGGAGACACCACCCTACCAAAAACTTCCATAATCGCTCAATTTTATGCAAGTTCATTTGCTTTTTGCAAGTCCGTTAGAATTAAAGGTCTCGCATTCTCTTCTCTGTTGTAGTGGAAATGCACAATCGTTCACCCGTGGTAGCTCAAAAAACACTTCCCAAGGAAAATTTCCTGTAGTCCGAAATGTGAAAAGGGGTCGTAGGTAGTCTATATGAAGCGCAAAAGCGCTTTGGGAGCGTTTAGGGCTCGTTCAATGAAAACAAAACAAATACAAACAACAAGGACTTGATCTTTGCTGCCATATCTATAAGGCTGCCCTACCAGCTGAGCCACCAATAACCAGAGAGATGACCATTCGGTTAGGAGATCCGTGCGACACACACAGCGGTATAAAACGGGGTGAGAACGGTCCCATACCTTTGTTCCCATGGTCAATTCGTAAGTTTGGAGACCCGATTCCGATTCGTAGGCTAGAGGAAACTTTAGCCAGTTTACATCTTATCTGCCATACATTATCTACAGCGATCTACTATCCTTCCCTTGTAGAAATGACTCACCGTCTCACCCTCGTCCAACCATCTCCTTCATCCCGCTCAATAAGCAGCAGCTCTTCTCCTTCTTGCATACCGATTGTTCCTTCGGTTCCGCCTTCAAAGGAGTATTGAGCCAAAGCGGTGCCCAACGCCGGCATCGTATATTCGTCACAGACCCAAAAAGAGTAGTTCAATTAACAAGTTTATCACTGACAGGAAAGATGCGAAAAGAGGTTCACTAATTCCTAAGAAGAAAGTGTAGGCGCCAATATCCTTGTGATAAACACGCATAGTGCTATAAGAGTAGCATAAAAGAGCATACAAGATGAAGAGAGATAGCATACAAGAGATGAATCAGAGGTGAACTTTAGGTACACCTCCACTATTTCACTGCCTAGGAATGGATAGAAGAAATTGCAAAAAGGAAGCATGATATATATGTATATATTATATATATATACATATATATATATACTATATACTATATACCCTACATATATATACATATATATATATATATATATATATATATAGGGTGTCCGAAAATTATTGGCGCCGATTTATANATTTCTATGCACGCTAGCTAACACTATGTGCTACAACATGCTACAGTCACATTTCTAAATATCCCCCACGAGCGCGGACAGAATTCAAAGTTTGCTCTCGACTTGATCGCATGTGGCACGCAGGTATCCTTCCCCATTTCTTCCCAGCTGTTCTCCAGCCTTTGCATTCTAGGACTCCAAACTGGAACTGCAAACTCGACAGGCTCTCTTCTAATCAGAGACCATCCGTGGGAGTCAAGTGAGTCAACTTCTGGAGAATAGGATGACCATTCCTCTTCACCAATGAAGTCGGGTAGCTGTCGTCGGCATCACTCGCGGGCACGCACGCTTGGCTCTGTGGGTTGGAGTAGCGTCCTGCTAGAAGCTTTCCGGAACAAGTACGTTTTGGTAGTTGAGTGATGATTTTGTCGTAAAAAATTTTTTGACCAGAGGAAACGACGAAGGGTCGCTTGTCATCACTCAAGTGGGTCTGCGACTTTCTCCATTTTTTGGTCCTGCAATGTCTGTTGAGATCGGAATTGAAGCGAAATTTCTGCATACGATAGGAA